CCCCAAAACCCCAAAACCCCAAAACCCCGTACTGTAATTTGCTATGAAAATTAGTTGATTGAAAGATTAGCATAAATAAGAGCTAATATCCAAATAAATGCATTTAAATCGTGTAATTCATATCCTATCTCTTCTTATTTGTTCAGCTATCGAATGAGTAGAGATCACTCTTCTCTTGCTACTATTCAGAAGAGGTTTGAGGTGCTTGATACTAAGTGAGTTGATCTTTTAATTGTGTATTCTCCTCTTAGAGGGATTGAATTCTATACTCGAGCTCAGTGACTTCTTGTCTTGAGGAGCTGGCTTGCTCAGTTACTTCTGTAAGCTGATTATTTGAGAGTTTAAGTTGATCAGATAGTTTCTCGCATCTAACAGTCAAAGTTTCAATCTCCTACTTGAGTTCTTCAATCACATTTTGTTAATTATTTGATGACCCTCCAAGTGAACTGCCTGATGCTGATACGCTATTTCCTGACTTGTCTCCAAGCTTTGCCATGAAAGTGCTACGTCTTTGGATCTAAGCAGCGTGCTCCTAGTGATGAGTCTCTGGCCTCATCTCTTGTCTTAAAGGTTCTTTGTCAATTCCAGTCCAGTACTCCTCGAATTTAGTTGCAGGCTCTCCACTTCTGCATGGTGGGAATAAGTCAGCTTGGAAGTTTCCAGCCTTTCTTGGGACTTTGAAGTATACATACTCGACAGTCTTAGCAGTTAATCTTACACCTCTTGCTACCTCGCAAGTCATCACGTCTACGCATCTCTTGGGCATGAAACTGAAACCCTTTTGAGGTTCTTTGCCTTTATAGGCATGCAAGTAGTCAACAATGTTTGGACTTTCTGGAGAGTATTAGAAGAAGGAGATTTAACTCTCTCCCTTGCCAGCAATGTAGAGAACCTTAGCATCATCATCGAAGAAGGTAAATGGAATACCGGCGTATTCATCTAATCTCTTCTTTATGAGTGGTTGTGACATGTCTCTGATATCCCAGACTGAGTACTCTCTCTCGGCGACCTTTGAAAAACCTGCAGTGAAGATAGTTTGATTGTCTCCTAACCAGCAGAGCTTTTGTGGTCTGGCACCTTCGTGAGTATTGGCACTAAGAGCTGATCCCTCCTTTCTTGGGTCGAAAACGTTCAAAGTTCTATTCTTTGTCATAGCTCCGAGTAATGAACCGTTCTGAGACCATTCAAGGCCGGTTGTGGTTTGTTTGATATCGTCATAGGTGAGAGCACATCTTTGTTGCGAAATATCCCAGATTCTTATTGTGCAGTCTGCACTTGAGGAAGCTAAGGTGTAGTCTGATGATGGATGGAACTTAGAGAAAATCAGTTTTCTAGAATGACCTCTTAGTTCAGCGTCGCAATCTGAGGTGTCTTGGGTGATGCCATCCTCTGGAATAACCCACAATTTGATTGACCCATCTTCTGAAGCTGTAGCGAAGAGATTATCATTGAAAGGAGAGAAATCGAAGTCAACGATTGGTCCAGCATGTCCTTTAATCAAAGGTAAATCAGCTTCTAGCCTCTTATATTCGTAAGCCTTCATGACTGCAATGACACCACCACCGCCGGATTTCCATGGAATCTATATATATCTTAATACTCTGGAAGGTGAGGGAGAAGCCCCTAAGTTAGGGGTAAAAGCAGCATAACGCGGCAATACTTTGTAAATGACTTACAGCTGTGAAAACTCCATTTGATCTAATGAAGTTTGACTCTGATGCGGCGTCACTCAAATTAATTCCTTCAAATCTATCCTTTGAGGCCTCACCTTTAAATTTATGGTAAGATGAAGTAAAGTAAGAAAAATAGATTACCGAGCATGTATTTGTATTTGCTCTCAACAGAAGTTCCCTTCATCATATTGTATATATCTTTTATAAATTTATAAAATTAGATTATTTGAAATTAATATCTTCTAAGAGTATCAGTAACTTGCTTGAGTCGCTTGGGGTTTTGGGGTTTTGGGGTTTTGGGG